TATAAACTAACAGCCAAGAAATTTAAAGAATTGGTTGGCTAAAATAGATGTAAGTATAGAATTGAATAATTAAATTGTAGTTTGGAATTGATTAGATATAAAAATAGATTTGAAAAAGTTAATTTAGATATTAGTTATTTGATAAAAGAATATTGCAGTTTGGAGTATCTGTTCAAGTTCTATTTTGAATTAAGATATCCAAAGTATATCATCCAAGTAGACTAAAACAAAAGTGTTGTGTTGAGGCTTTGAATTTTAAGTAAAGAAAGACTGCTTGGCCAATTTGTAGATAATATATAGCTTTATGCTATGATGTGATTTTGTAAATAAGTAGATTATAATAAATTTGCCAAAAGAGTAAAGTAATAGTTTTACTTTGGTCTACCTTATTTTTAACTAAATAAAATTCAGTAAAGCCAAAGTTTATAATTACTCTTTTTGATAGTTTGTAAATATATTAATAAGTATATTAATCAGTTTGAATAACATGTTAATATGGTTAAAAGTTTTTTCAAATAGGTTCAAGATAACTAAATTATAAGCTTGCCAATTTTTTATTTTTTAAAGAAATTATTCATAGAAATGCTTGTTTCTTTTTTTTTTTATCTTTATTACTGCTGTTGTTCTGTATTAATTATTCTTAATTTTGCATATTGACCTTATACTCTAAGATTTTTTTTAGCAAATTCCATATTATTAGTATTATTATATTTTTACTTTTTTTGTCTATGTTTGCTTTTTCTTGATTATAGGTTTAGTTCTTTTGTTTTTTTTTATACTCTCTTCTTTTTTTTTAGCCTTTCTTCTCTAATTTTTCTTTTTTTTTGTTTTCATCTTTTTCTAATTTTTTTGTATCTTGGATTTTTCTAAACTAGTTATTGTGTTTTCTCTGAATCTTGTTAATTGTTTTTTTTTTATCATATTTACAGTTAAATGTAATTTTGATCTAAACATTTTCTCTTATATACAGCTCTTTGATATTTTTAACATATTTGTTAAACAATAATAATCTGTTGACAAACATTATTCTTTATTCTTATAAGCTACCTGGTACATTAAATATTAGTATTTTTACTATATATATATTTTTTTTATTACAATCTTTGTTCAAGAGTAATTATATACTTTGTTTTAATAATACTTCTGTAAATTTACTTTTGTCTTTTTATCATTCTGCTTCATAAGTTTCTTTTTTTTATTTCTTTTATTATATCTTTGTAGTCTTGTTGTATTATATTTGTTTTTAATGTACTAAATTTTTCTTTTATATAGTTATTTTCTATTGCTGCTTGAGTTACTATATTTATTACTTATGTGACTATAACTTCTTTATCTTTTCTTTTTTTTTGTCTTTTTTTTTCTTTTATACTTGTATTCTGTTATGTTTTTTTTTATTTATTACTATATCTATTGCTTTAGTCTTTTGTCTTATTTTTTCTATATACATTTCTAATATGATAATTTCTTTCTTTACTATTATTTGATCTTTTTTGCTTCTTATAATTTGCACTGCTAGTGGGTATTAATTTATGCAATTTATTGTTTCTGTTTAGTTCACTATGCTTAATGAATTTTTCATATCTCTTTTATTTATTATTATATATATTTTTCTTAGCATCACTGTTTTATTAAATCTGTTTTCCATAATGCTGCTGCTACTATATCTTTTATATTAAAGTGATTATCTCTATTTGCTAATTTTTGTTCTAAGTTTTTGCTATTTATAAGTTTTAGCATTGTTTCTATACTTTTATTTACTAATTTTAAAATTATTAACTCTTCTAACTTTATTTGTATCATTATTTAGCTATGTTTTATGTTACTTTTTTGTTTATTTACAATTATATGCATTCTGTAATACTTATATATTTATCTTGTCTATATTTGTATATGTTTTTTTATTTGTCTCTTTATATGTTCATGTGTTTTAAACAGATTTGCAATTCTGGGTCTATGCTGTTTCTTCAAATTTTTATTTTTTAATACTCATTTATTGAGTTTGTAACTTTTTTACTTGCTAGTTAGTTAGTTTTTTTTCTTCTACTAGTATACTTGTTAAGTCTATATTTAGAAGCTCTTTCTATTTTGTTAAGCTTTTGAATATTGTTTTGATATTAGTTTTTTTGTAAACTTTAGTTTTGTTTCTGCCAATTTTTGTGTTTTGTTGATCAATAAAAAGAGTTGTTTATTTGCTTTAAAGTTCATTTTTTAGAAATATCATTTTACTAAAATTGTAATTTTATAATCTATATTGCTAACAAAACAAAAATAGGCAATATTATTTTATTGAATATTAATTATCTGACCAGTTTATTTTACTAACAGTTTATTTTATTAACAGTTATTTTACTAATTAGTAAAATAAACTTATTAGTTAAATGATTTTAGTAAAATAATACAAACCTTTTTTTTTTTGCTAATAAAATAGATTTTTGATATTAAAACTTAGTTAAATAATATTTTACAAAAATGAATTTCAGAAAAATAAAACATAACTATTTTTTAGTATCTTTGTTTTGGTTTAATGCAATTTCTAATAAACTAAAAATAAATTGAAGATTTTTATTATACAAAATTTTTTAAAAGAAATGAAACTGTAATTTTTATCAAATTATCTACAAATTTATAATTAATACTTAAGAAATAAATTTGAATTACTAGACACTTCTGATTATTCTGATTTTAACATTGTATTACTAAATAATACAATTTTATTAAAAGAAATAAATGTCAAACAGAACTTTATATAACAATAAAAATCTAATTTATAATTTTCAAAATAACCAAGCTTATAATAAATGATAAAAAAACATAATATTAAAAATAATAATAATAAAATATTAATTATATAAATAGGGGTATGGTGATCTAGTAAAATAGACAGGTTGTCAACCCTTAAGTGGCAGGTCTTAGATTCAATTCCTATGGATGATGAATTTTGAAAATTATACTTGTATTATGGTAACTGTTTTTTGTCAATTAGTGGGTTTTGAGCATCTGTAATCTTAGGTACACCAAGTCAGGCTCCACCTGATATTGTAAGCTTGGAGCATCTATGTAAAGTATAATGTTACATATACATCAAGGAATGTAAAAAACCAACATTATATAAGGCTTTAGTGCAAACTTATGTAAGACCATCAAGCATAAAAGGCTAAAAAACCAAGAAGAAAAAAATCTACTTGGAAATTCTAAGTAAAGAGGTAATACAAACTTTCAATAGTATTATTGGATTGATGAAAGCTTATGAACCACCTTCATAGTAACTGTCAGATAAACTGAATGACAAGATGTGTAGAGGAACACATAACCAACCAGATCACTGAAATTGCTAAAAGAAAAGAATACATAAGTATACTATACTAGACCATTTGGATTGGAAGTCTGAAAAGTCAGTTAGTTCTAAGTTACAGCTAATAGAAAATGATAAAGAAGAAGTTAGAAAGATGTATATCAGGTTTTGGGTGAACTTTACAAGAGTAATAGTGGTTTAATAGGTAACTCTGACTGTAAGTATTGGTCTTGACCATAGCATCAAACTAGGTTAACAGTAAAAGGAAATATGACTTGCTCTGATAGGTTTGCATCAAGAATAAAAATAGGCTAAGGATTATAGTTCTATAGTTAAATGCAAATAGATCTGGGTCTGTGACTCAGTAAAATTAGTACTAGGGTAAGATTAGAAAGTTTAAATAGAACTTCTAAGAGGGTGTTAGGTACAGCAACTGATGGAGAACCCTTGAGCAGACTTCATAAATAGGTAATATAGAAAAGTTACATGTGTAACCAGTTGTACACTTGTTTAATAGTTCAATATAGATATGTCTGTATAAAACATATACCTGACATAAGTATTAATAAAAAGCTAGGACCAAAGAGGTCACCTTAATACTGAAAAAAAAAATTAATTATATAAATTTTAAAATTAGTATTACAAATGGTAATATTGGTTTAAGCCAAAAAACTTAATCAGATAATTACTAATGCCAAAAAAACAAATTGTAACACCAAGTCATGTTCTTGCAGAAAAAGAAATTCACTATATTCAAGAAAATGCCAATGTGTTTTATGTGAGAAATGCACAAATTTTTAATTACATTGTTAAAATATATATAAATATTTGAATATGTTCATTTAGTATATGAAAAATTAGTTAGAATTTAGCATTTATGCAAGCGTATAATATTTCATTTTAATTCACTTTTAATTTATTTTTTTAAAAAAATTTAATTATTAGTTTTTTTTTTGCTTTATTTTTATTAATTGGTAAATGGATAACAATTTTAAAATAACATATGTCATTTTACAATTCATGAATTACACATGTCAATTAATAATAATTGACGTAAATTGAAAAATGACACGGAACATGAGAGAGTAATAATTAGAAACTATATAATAAGTTTACTTGGCATTATTGCTATAGGTAACAAAAACTGAATAAAGCCAAGTGAATTTCTTTTATATGAAGATGTAAAAGAAACTACTCTAACACTGATCATATGTGAATAAGGAAAGCGGAGCAATATTATTATTATTATTACAAATTTATAATGAATTTGATTGGCAATTTTCAATTTCTAAAATTTTCTAAAATTTTCCAAAATGAAAATTTACTAAATTAATCCAAGATACGTAAAAAAAAATTGTATTTTTTATGCAAGAAAAAATATGTTAATTTGAATCAATAACCTTTAAATTAAAAATTGATTTAATAAAATGTGAACCATTTCCCATATATGAATGCTATTCAGATGCAAAATTTGAAAAAGTCAATATTCGAATTTACAGTATAAAGTTACCAATGGATGAATACTCATGAAATTAATATAATTTATAGTGATTGAATCGATTAGTGAATTGGGTGGCAGTTTTTAGTATGTAACTTTGATTAACTCGTTTTGTCAGATCAGCTTCATTTATTATATTGAATGATACTCATCCCTGAAAATTTTAATACGCATAGAGTATGTACTGTACATGAGTTCCGGTGTTATCTGTTAATACCAATCAAATGCGATCAACTGATTAACATGAGTACTTAGTGTCCAATAATTTTACCTAGATCTGTTTTAAATGAAATATTATCGTTATTGTGTAGATATTTATGATTATGGAAGCACAACAGATTCGAGTTAATGAACACTTAAAAAAGCATGTTTATGAGTTGCATGTCCATTATTTGTAACCAAAAAAAAATTTATCAGAATCGTACGTAGTAAAATTTGGATTATCTGGTCGTTCACTTCTACATTAGCCATAATATTGTAACAAACTCTAAGCAGATTTGAATCTCATAATAAATGTCGTAGATCATAATGAATCAGATTAAAATGAATTTTAGTTACGACCATAATGAAACAGATTAAAATGAAAATTAGTTACGACCATAATAAAACAGATTGAAATGAATATTTAGTTAGTTATATTCTTTTATTAAAAATTCAGACCTTAAAAAATCCCAATCAAAACTCTAAAAAAAGATTTAGCCCCAAAATTTTTTAGCGTTACGACATTTAAAATTTTAATTAAATGAGACAAAAATTTTCATTTTAAATCTATCACGATAATATTTGAGACAAATTAATAAAAATTTAAGCTCGTGGAAAATGAGTATGAACTACAAGTGAATTCATATTCATTTTCCAATTTTATGATTAATGTGTCCTGTCAATTTATAAAATCGTAAATCAATACAGCAATATGGTTAATCTTTGTGATAATCGAAATGAATGTTATTCCGAAAATTAGTTATCAGATATTAATCTTTACGATTTACAATATTAAAATTGATATTAATAGAAACATTAGACTTTCAGAGTATTGAGATTTCCGTTTCAAAGTTTCGGAATTTCGTAAATTAAAAGAAATTTTTGTCTGTAAACAAATCTATAATTTTCTGGTTTCAGCCGACGTAAAAAATTGTCGATAAACGAATCGATTTGACAATAATAGCAATCGGATAAGTATTTAATTATTCACTATTATTCGATAGATTATTCGATAAATTATTCGATAGATAATTATTTGATAAATTATTCGATAGATAATTTTCGATAGATTATTCAATAGATAATTATTCGATAATTTGTTCGATAGATAATTGATCGATAAATTATTCGATAGATAATTATTCATTATTGGCTGCTTCGCATCCAATAACTATACATTATCGATACTTAAATTTGATAGTTATTCATTGTTCAAAAAAAGAAATTTATTTTTACAAAAAAAAAGTGAAGCGATGCAATTTAAATCTATTTTAGAAATGTATGAAAAAAGAAAGACAGAATTAATAAAATTAACAATTTATCAATTAGCTTGTTTCATTTCAGCCAATTTTTGATAATGAATGAAAGCTTTATATTCATCTTTTTCAATGCCTATACCATTTAAATAACAATTACTAAGACTATATATTCCATCAGCATGACCCATATCAGCCGAAGTTTGAAAACAAACAAAAGCTTTTTGTTTATCTTCATCAACACCAATACCATTTTTATAACAATGACCAAGACTATTCATTCCAGCGGAATCACCCATTTCAGCGGATTTTTTATAATGAATGAAAGCCATATCATCATCTTTTTCAACACCGATTCCATTTAAATAACAATAACCAAGATTGTTCATTCCAGTAGAATTACCCATAAGAGCAGATTTTTGAAAATAAAGAAAAGCCAAATTTTCATCTCTTTCAACACCAATACCATTTTGATAACAAAAACCAACTTGAGATATTCCACCAGCATTTCCCAAGTCAGCGGATTGTTTATAATAATTAAAAGCTTTACGTTTATCAATTTTAACACCTATACCATTTTCATAACAACGACCCAGATCAAATATTCCGATAGGATGATCCAAGTTAGCAGATTCTTGAATATAAAGAAAAGCTTTATGAATATCTTTCTTAACACCAATTCCACATTGATAACAATAACTAAGACCACTTATTCCATAAGAATTTTTCATTTCAGCGGATTTTTGAAAATAAGTGAAAGCTTTATGATCATCTTTTTTAACACCAATACCAAATTGATAACAATAACCAAGATTATTCATTCCAGTAGAATTACCCAAGTTAGCTAAATTTTGATAATGAAGAAAAGTTTTATGATCATCTTTTTTTACCCATCTTCCTAAATAATAACAAAAAGCAATAATGTTCTGAATTTTAGGATTTGTTTGATTATTTAAACACCAATTAATTAAATCTTCAGGTTTTAAATTTCTAGTAGCTAAAAATTGATCCATTAAATTTAAGACGGAAGCAGCGTAATTTCCTTTCATTTCTTCTTCATCGTAAAGATTACATAAATCTTCAATGGTTTGATTTAAAAGATCACGCAAATTAATATCATTATATAAAAATGAAGAATGAAAATGAAAATTCTTTTGAGAATCAGAATCTTTAGAAGAAGTAAAAGGAACAAGAGATTCGTTGTTAATATTAGTTAATCTTGTTTCAGTAAGCATTTTTTTGAGTTCGTATAATGAGAAATAACGTTATGTGTGAGTAATTATCTGTTATTAAAATATACGTACGTACGTATATTTATTATAAATTGATCACCAATCATTAAAGCACGTTTTTTTTGAAATCTATATGTAAACTCATGCATGTTAAAATTTATCGTTATTATCTCCTTTATGTGGTTTTTTGTGTTACGTACTACAGTTAATATCAATTGATAAAAATAAATATTTGTTATTATACTGTGAGAGCTTTTTTTTTTCTTTCATTAATAAGGAATATAAAAAAATAAAAATTAATTTATGAAATTATTATGAAATTATACGTACGTATAATGTAAACATGTTTATTTCAAAAGTGACTGTAAATCGCTAAATGAGTTGAACAGAGCTGAGATTCGTGAATAAAAAAAAAAAAAAAATGCAATTAGTAATGTTTGTGTTTGACTATTTTTTAATCTTTTGTATCACTATCAATCATTTGAAGTGTTTTACGTACATACATACATACATACATACATACATAAATATATACCTGATACATAAATATATACATAAATATATACATAAATATATACATACGTATGTACGTATTTGATGCGCAGTTTTAGCACCAATTATTATACAAGCGTAGATCAACCATGAGATAGAGGTTTTTGAGAGAGAAGAACTCCTCATGCTGTGAAGTGTCTTACCCTCATGTTGTGAAGTGTTTTTTATTTATAGAAGATATCTTCCCCGACGTTGTACAGTAAGTGCACTTGTGCACTTAGTGCACACCTATTCCGATTTTAATATATTTTAAAAAATGTACATTTTATTAATAGATATAAAATAACGTAAAATGTGCATTAAAATAGATATAAAATAACGTAAATGTGCATTATTAATGTGTAATAATGGAGGGTAACACCTGACCGTATAAATGATTTCCGTCACTAATTTCGATATTACTTCATACTCTCTAAATATGATTAGGATGACTACAATGGCTATATATATATGGAAAGATCTAGTTATACGAATCTTCTTTATGCATTTTATTTATGCATTTGATTTACGCATTTTATTTATGTATTTGATGCATACAAAAATTTTTCCTTAAATGTCGCATGATTGTAAGTCACGTTGTATGACCAAATTATTAACCATATAATTTTGTGATACGTACAGTACGTACTTATATATTGAGATATGCGACGTTTTACTACGTATAGGAGACCTGTTCTTAAGCACGATAATAAACAAATACGAAAATGATATTATTGAAGTGCACAAAAACAATTATAACGTCATAAAAGGAAATAGGAAAAACGGGTAATTATTGGCCTCATCAAGGTTGAGCAGATATTAAAGTTAGAGATAAGGATAAATATGATCATTACAAAATCAATTGCGCTACGTAGTCGCATTAAAACCAGTAATTTATATACAAATTCGGATAATCATGCAGCATCAATCAATTTATTCTTCACTTAATCATACAATCCGTTTCACTACATTCTCAACAAGGTTGGTTTATAGATGTATATTTGATATTAATCTAATCTTTAAAAAAATTTAAGGTTCAATTTAGACGGAGTTTATTAACTGTTCAGTCTATTCAAGTTCCGTTTAAAGAAAGTTGGCTGTGGTACATTTTTAGAGTCTGCCTGAACTTGTTAAGCTGTACGTATACACGTACGTATAAGTAAAAACTTTTTTTGTTTTACATTATACTTGATTCTAAATAAATTTGAGTAACATTATTAAATTTTTCAAAAACTTGTTTTTACAAATTATTTATTTCAATGATAAAAAAATTCCAGTACAAATCAAGAAAAATTTTTTACATCTGAAACACAAATATGCAATAACGATAAGAAACTATATTTTTTATATACTTGAAAAGTTCACTTCGTATACGTATGCTTTTTAAATTCTCGATTAATTTCTATTATTAAAAAATTCATAGATTAAGTTGTATATGCAACGTCTCAGAATGAGATATAAATAATAAAATAACAAATAAAATAATAAACAATTCTTGTAATATTTACTATAGATTGTATTTGAAATATTCAAATATTTTTCAAAGTAAATTTTATTTTCATATATTTTATACGTACGAACGTGCTAACAGAGACATTGTGTAAGATTTCTACGTACAGTACGTATTAGGATCATCATCATTTTTAGTACTAAAATTCAGATTTGCTGTATAAAGATAATCAAAATTTTAGTCAGTTGATTATTCAACTAATACAAAAAATATTTTATAATCAATTAGCTAATTGAATTAACTGACCAATCGTATAATTGATTATATGATTTTATTAATCAGTCTACGATTAACAATTTTAGTCTACCAATTATTCGGCATTCCAACCAAGTCTGTAATTTAGGTTTGATAAATAAATTAATGTTAGTAAATAAAAGATATTATGTTACAATAAAGAAATATCGATAGAATTAACATTTTAATTTATTAATTAATTAACTAATTAATTAATTAATGATATTTATCCTACCAGTTAAGTTACATGAGTATACGTATCGGATTACACAAGTGAATAGAAATGTGAATAGAAATGTGAATAGAAAAAATGAAAAGAAAAAATTAATAGAAAAAATGAATAGAAAAGTGAATAGAAAGATGTTTATAAAGAATTTTTTTTCGAGTTATTAACTTTTATGTAGCTCTCTCTTTCATGTTACGACAGACCTTATAATTTAATTAATTTGATTGGTAGAAGAATGACATGCATACCTTATCAAATTAAAGATAAGGGTTTGAGTATATTTTGTTTAGAATTTATGTTACACCTGATCTTGAAATTAGATTTTACTGGATGATTAAATTAATAAAGTTGGTGGCGCTTAGGTGATTAATCAGAGTCGACATTTACTGTATACATGTCCTATCATAACGTAAGCGAAATGAATTATCATTGTGCAATAGTAAATATTAAAAATATATTAATGAATCTAAATGAAATTTTCATTACTATAATATAATACATATCAAGTTCAAGGGGTATTAATTAAAAATATCTTGATCCATACATGTACAAACGGAAACTCCAATCCGTTCAATATTCAACGACAACGGTCCAGGTCATTTTTATTTCAAATTCTAGAGTCTATTAAAAATTACAAGTTTCACCATGAATTATTATAAAGTTATAACGGCTAAAGATGATAAAAATTTTAAATGTACTTTTATTACTATTTTTAGTTTAATTTGTATATAATCGCTGATTTATAACTTCTTAATTTCATAAATATTCGTTCTCAAATTAAAATAAGATTTTAAATCATTTTTTGTTCACTTACTATCATACAGTTAGACAGAATCAGTTAGACAGTAATCGACATTACTTTTATTTTGCTCAAATTGGTATACTATCATTAATGACATGCAGTATATAGGCATAGAAAGTAGTACGTATATACAGGCATAATAATAATAATAATAATAATAATAATAACATTAATCATCATAATAATAATAACAGTAATAATAATAATAATAACTGTAATAATAATAATCATAATGTGGTATAATCATTATGCCACGTTTAATACTTCCGGAAGCTTTCGGAGGTTGCCAAGAAATTACTCATATTTTGCTGCCTAGATCGGAAACCTTCGGAATTGTTGATGACCTCTACTTCTTTAATCATGTGCTCAAATAACCAATTTTTAATTTTCCAAATGGATTTTATTATTGTTACCCTATTATACCAATGATACCTAAAACTTTGTACCTCTAGATCATCGGTCACACGGCATATGATACTGTCAACATTACTGCATTATCGACTGCATCGTCACAGATGCGTCTAGTATCCTCATAGGACGACTTTTTTACAATTGGTTGTTTAAATCAATTTAATTTTACATTATTTATACAGTTTAAAGTACTTTTTAAAAACAATAAATGAAAAAGAAATATATAGAAAGTTTTTTTAGAGTTATTGAAAATGAAAATGATCAAAATCCCTTTTTGGTTTAGAGAAGTTAGCATCATAATAATCTAGTTCGGTCATTTTTAAAAAGTTGATATAATACTAACTTCACTAAATCAAAAAGGGATTGTGATCATTTTCAATAACCCTAATAAAAACTTTCTACATACTTCTTTTTCATTTATCTTTTGCAATTTAAACTGTATAAATAATGTAAAAATTAAATTGATTTAAACAACTAATCATATGAAATGAACTGTTAACCTGAATAGTGTAGACTAGAGTGGACTGCAATATGTATGTGCATATGTGATCACATTTTACGTATACCAGGAACGAATGTAATGAGTGTATGGTTTATATGCTGTTTGAAGTGAGATTTGTCCGCGAAATCTTAAGTTTGATTGGTCCGCGTGATTTATTCATCAAATTTTGTTTATTTTTCACACATGAATTCATCACGTATATAATTACAGAGTATAATTTGAATACAAAAAAATCCAAACGTAAGTGATGTCGTAGTTGCGATAACTAACGATAATAAAAGCAAGAATCTTAGACTCAAAATTGGTAACTTAGTGTAAATTAACTTGCGTATTTACTTGATATTTGACAATTTTACATTTTTCGTAGAATTTTTTATTGGGTTGATTAAATGATACTGTAATCACTGATCGTCAATGATAATAGCAAAATAATTTTCGGATAACCTTATTATTTATTGATGCTTTGTAAATTTTTGTTTGATTAGCTAATGCGAGTCAATTGCCTATAGTGTATATCAAATGCTTCACGATATATTAATGAGATGATATATTAGTTCTCGTTTATACGTTACTTGGACTATTTGTTAACTATTATATTTGCTTTCGTTCCTGGTTTCTAGCGCAACGTAATCGCACGGCTACCTTATATTATAACTACACATCTACTTATCTTATCACCCTTAGTCTCCATTATTGTTCTAAATGTGGTTAAGTGACCTTTGCAATTTCGCAAAGTTTAAGTATAAAATTACAACTATTTGAATTGCTGTATTAATTATAATATCATACTGTATTACAACACCAAGGTGATTAATTAATTACAGACAATCGTCTGTAAATATTATATTTCATTTAAGCTAGCATTATAGAAGTTAACAAAGTTAACTAATTTGAAAAACTGCACAAAGTTATGCAATAACCCATCCCTGATTTGTGCCCATGACCTTATGATCCAAACCCTAACGCTATTTTAATCCTAGCCAAATTTATAAAGATTAGCTAGAATTATGCTACTTAGCTTAAAAAATATTGCGCAATCCCATCTCTAGTTCTGTTGATCGAATGCAATGAAAATTTTTTATATAATAGTTATAATTAAAGCAATTCGAAAATTATAAATTATAATTAATGATAGTCTGCAATCATAATTATAATTAACTTTGTAGCAAAAGATACATTCACGATGTAAAATCTATGATATAAAATAATGAAATTGTAAAATTTTAATAAATAAAAACAACAAACCATATTAAAATACTTATCACTTATTTTGTAAACCAGTTTTAAGGATCCTGTGATGGTTCTGGTTTAACTTTCAGAAATCTATTTTACTGAAAACCCATTTCACCAAAATCGTAATACTGAAATCCATTTTATTAACATAACGGAAATACCTTTTAGCAAAATCAAAAATAGGTATGTATAATTTCACCGAAAATCAATAAACCGATAATTTTATTTCACTGACAATTTTATTTCACTGATAACTCATTTCACAGACAGGATTTTTAAAAATTCACTCCCCTTAACTCTAATTCTAATCGTGACCCTAACAACAACAATTACCAGAATTACTTTGTCGGTCGGCAAAATAAACTGTTAGCGAAATAAACTTGTCGGTTAACTGATACTGACCTATTTTGTCCTGTCAGTAAAATCGATTGTCAATATTACGACTTCGGTGAAATGGTATTTAAGAAAAATGAACTTCGATAAAGTGAACAACAACCCTCCAATACGTGCATTTCATTGACACTTAATTCATCGACAAGCTTAATTCCCTAATACTTAATACACTAATGATCAGTTTTCTGATGCTTAATTTACCAACAATTAATTCACCATCAAAGTAATTATAACAAAATTATGTTTAAGGTTAATGCAAGCAATAAAATTTTCACTAAAATAAGCTTGCAATGAATTGGTGTCGATGAATTAAGCTTGGTGATGAATGAATTTGGCTTGGCGATGAATTAAGCTTGTAGGCAGGGATGATAACTGACCCAAATGATCAATGACCGGTCAATTTAACATTTAAAATCTAATACCTTTTTAATACCTTTTAGCCAATCAAAATTTATTATTAAGCAAAAAATAATTTTTCACAAACCATGATCGATAATCGTAGCTACAGTTGTTAGGCGAAACTGTTTTGCGAGAATGGCGAAAGACGAAAGTGGCGAAACCCTGGCGAAAGGTGAAACCCTGAAGAAAGGTAAAACTCCTGGTGAAGGTCAAAGCTCTCAGCAAAGTTTAAATTCTCTAAGACTTTGGAAAAGACTTTGCCATGTTGGTGAAATAAAATATTCGCACTAGTTTATTAAGCACAGTAAGTAGCTCATATAAAAAATGTACCTGAACCACTAAACCATAAAATATTTGTGTGTGTGACTATTAAGCACTGCATGTTGCAAAGAAGCCAAATAGTGCATATAACTTATATATAGTTAATAGTCTTCCCTCGGTAAGGTTAGGGTTAGCATTATATACCAGGAATGAATGTAATGACAAACCTATAAGGACACTGAATTTGAAAAAAAATTTAACACACCAATGACAATACAATCTGAAAGTGAAAACCCAATTGTTTTTGTGTATAGCAAAAAAAAACCAACCCAAACAAAAAAAAAAGCTTACCAAAATCTGCTATGCCGGTTCCGATACCATCTTCACTAAACTTAGCATTGCACCATGAAAAGCCAAAAAGACCTCACTATCAAATTATACTTTGAAACTGCAATACAAGATTACCCACGAAACATTGAAGATGCTAAACAGAAAGAAACTTTAACAATGACAACATAATTTGAAAGTAAAAAAAAACTCAGTAAAAAGTATAGCAAACAAATAATAAAAATAAAGATGAGTAAAAGCTTACCAAAATCCTTTGCACTGGTTCTAATATCATAAAAACTACATAACAATAACAAAATCATTCACAAAAACATTAAAGACACCAAATCAGGAAAGAAATTTGAATGACATCAATGTTAATATAATCAGAAAATGAAAAAAATTAACGGGTATAGCAAAAAAAAAAAAAAACAATTACTAAAATCTGTTTGTTAGTTCTGAAAACATGTTCTGAATAACCTAAACAAGTTAAAAATCTTAAGTACCAATCTATAAAATTACAAAATTACATTATAAAACCATATTGCAAGACTATATATATCTTTGGCATCACTATAAAATGATTAACAAAACTCACAAAAACTTTAAAACACTGAACCAGAAAAGTAATTTGAAAGACAATATTAATGATGACACAATTTGAGAATAATAAAAGGTTATTACAAGTAAAGTTAATAATAAATTTGCAGTAGATTTGTAAAAGTAAATTTACAAAAACATCAATTAGAAAAATACTTGAGAATTTTTAAGTATAATGTCTATATCTAAAAAATAATAATTGCAAAAAGTTTATAATTAGGAATATAAAGAAATACAAGCTAGTATATATAAATGTACTTCTAAATATTATAAAATAGTTAATATAAATATAAGATAAAACTATATAAAGGTTAGTATAAGATATAAAGTAAGATTATATAGTTTACTTAGCACAATACTTTATAAATAATCTAATAAAAAACATATATATAAATTTATTAACATTTATAAACACATAATTGTAATTGGAATCTTATTAAAAAATATAACTAATTAAAATTAGTAAGCAGACTAACACATAGAGACAGATAGTTAAGATTTTATATATAAAAATTAAAATAATAATGCTTAAATCCAATATACAAAACAAACTATGATATCTTATATTGCTATAAAATCTAAGCATATAACAATTAACTTTATAGAAGATAACCTTACAAGGCATTTCTAATTTTTTTTTTTTAATATTAAGATAATTTCTTTGGTTCTGACTTTTTATTAATACTTATGTCAAGTGCATGTTCATATAAATGTATTCATATTGAACTATTAGACTAGTATACAACTAACTACACATATAACTTTTCTATATTACCTATTTAAAGAGTCTGCCTAGAGGTTCTTTACCAGTTACTGTATCTAACACCTCTACTTAGATGTTTCATTTAAACCTTTGATCTGATTTTAGTATTAACTTCACCAGGTCACTTGACTCAGATCCTTTATCTTTAACTATAGAACTATAATCTTTAGACTATTTTTATCCTTAAAATAAATTTATCAGAATGAGTTGTATTATCTTTTATTATTAATCTGATTTGATACTATAGCTAAAACTAATACTTGCAGTCAAAGTTATTTATTAAACTGTTATTATTCTTGTAAAGTTTACCCAAACTCTGGTACCTGTCTTTTTGACATCTTTTTTATTATTTCTTACTAGCTGCAACTCAGAACCAACAGACTTTCCAGACTTTTAATCAAGATAACCTAATATAGTATACTTATATATTCTTTTCCTTTGGTAATTCTGACAGCATAATTAGTTATATGCTCTTTTACATATTTTGTTATTCAGTTTATTTAACAATTCTTATGAAGGTATTTTATAGTCTTTCATTAGTTTAACAATATTATTGAAAGTTTGTACTACCTCTTTACTTGGGATTTCCAAGTAGGCTTTTGTCTCATCAGCTTCTTAATTTTCTACACCTAGTAGTCTTATTATGAGTTTGTATCAAAGCCTTATACAATACTGATTTTTCACATTTCTATATATATATATAACATTACACTTCCATAGATGCTCTAAGCTCCCAAAATTTAATAGACTCTAACTTGGTATATCTAAGATTACAAATATATAAATCTAATTGATTTACAAGAAACAGTTATTATTATATAGATATAATTTTCAAAATTCATCATCTATAAAAATTGAACCTTAGACCTGCCACTTAAGAGTTAACAACCTATTCATTTTACTAGATTGTCACACTTCTCAAAATTATCTTTAATATCTTTAATATTTTATAATTCTTATATATGTTTTACTAATTTTTTTTATTATAATCAATTACTTTTTTCTTATAATTAAACTATACAAAATTTAATTAATATATTAACAAATACAATAATAATTAAACTGTATCTAATATTACATTCTTTGTTAATTTATCTTATTAAAAATTCATATATATCTTCTTAATGATTCTTTTTTATTTAATGATTTCATTATATCTTTTTATTTTTTTATTTTATAATTTATTATTTTTTAATGTTACTTTTATTTTATTCATCCTATTTCTTAATAACTATTATTTAATCTTTATTAATTATAAATCTTTTTTATCTTTTTTTAATTCAGAAATTGGGTCTTAAAACTTAATAGTAAAGTTGCTAACTTCTTATAGACTAAGTTAATGATTTAAGTTAGACTAAAAACAAAATTTTAAAATCTTAAACTCTATAATTTAAATAGCAACAAATTAGATATAAAGTCCTATAAAAAGTTTCAAAATAAAGTATAAAGAGAAATTAAAAATTCTTAAAAGAAAATAAACTTTATAAAAAGAAAAATTATATATAACAGTAGCATCATAAAAAGTTTAGCTACATTACAGTATTGTATAAATTAGTTCTTAGAAACAGAACAATACTAATAACTTTGTATCTAATTTGCAGAATATTTATTAAAAATATAATTAAAACTAAAATAATAAATAAAGCAAAATAAGTAAAAAAGATCTGTAATAAAGAATTAGTCTAATCAGAATTTGAATACTTTATACAGATACTATAAAAGTACTAAAAAAATATTATTTAATAAATAGTCATACATTATAACTTAGTTGATAAGCTTTTCTTACAATATTAAGCTAGTAGTATAATGCATATAATTAGTAGTATATTTACAAAAAAGCTTATAAAAGCATATATAATTAAGTTACAGATCAAACCAACTATAAAAATAAAACTAAAATAAATATAAAATAAATTATAAATTAATAATCTAGATTTGATAAGTTCGATCATGTCAATAAAATATCAAAAAGTATATAAAGTTGTATATACAAAATTAGTAATAACAAAAATAAAAAAACTGTAAAAGTTACCTAATTTAAAAAAAGAAAAATTACTGCTAAAAATAGACAATTAAATCATATTTAGTTTGAATAATAAAAAATTATAATACAACAAAGTAATTATAGTTTTACTAATAGTTAGTAACAATAATTCAAATATATATATTTTTTTTTGAACTTAAGCAGTTATACTAGTACTTTATTAAAATTCTTGAAATTACTGTTGCACTTATATAGATATACTTAACAACTAAGCCTAGCATCACCTGGCTACCCTAATGGTGCCTAAATGCAACCTGCCACATTACTTTAAACAGAAGTAAGTTGCTTGTCTAACTACTTAAAGTCTATAATGATAAGGTTTTTTTCCTTTTACAACAAGCTCTAATATTGTCTTTTTGGCTTTATCTTCTAATTTCTTTTTCTTCTCTTTTGCTTTTTTTTATTTTTTTTATTTTTTGCTAACTAATCCTTTTTTTCTTGTTTGAATTCTTCTTCTTCTTTTGAGAACTTTTTTTTATTTTGCTAGTTATTTTTATTCTTTTTTCTATTTATTGATTTTTTCATATTAAGTTCTTCAAACTTGATCATAAAAGATATTCCAGGTTGTTTCTGCTAATGTATTTACAAATTGTTGTCTTATCTTAATATCTAGAAGCTGTGCTAATCTGTTTTAAGTTGTTTTTGTAATTAGGCCTTTGATTAATGCTTTTTTCATTTCTATATCTTTTGTTTTCATTTTTCTAAATATCATTATATACAATATATAAAGTGAAATTTTAGTTTTTTCTTCTTCTGTTAATCTTTTTCATGCTGTTGCAATGGATACTTTCTGTATTCTCTTCAAAAGCTTGTTTGTCCTTTGTATGTTGCCAGATGCCTTTGTGTTTCTTTAACTTTGTCTTAATATATTTGGCATTTTGTATTTATATATAAGTTTAGCCTTTTTTTGTTAAGTTTTTCTAATGTTGGAAGTTTGTTCAATATATATTTTATAAACATGTTTCTTCTTGTGCTGCTTCTTTTTATTAAATAGTATACTCTTTTAGTTAACTTTAGTCTTTTTCAAAAATATACCCAGACATAAATTATTACTTCTGTTATCAGTTTTAGGCTCTTGATTGCTATTGTTTCTTTTTACTTTACATCTAGTCTGGCATTTGTTACTAGCTTATATAAAAGTCTTGTTGGCATGTCTATTTACTTGTTTTTTTACTTTAAATAGTATTTTATCTTTTTGCAATTGACTTCTTCTATATATATTATTTACTACTTATTGTTTATTTTTTTGCAAAGCTATTAGCTTTATTATTTTATTTGTCTTTACTATAGCTTTTTACCTTAAACTACTCTATTTATATATTTTTGTTCTAACTAGATCAATTATTTTTACTATCCAAAAAGCATTTTTTCTCTTGAGATTCTATTTTTATCTATACATTCTAATCCTCTACTAATGTTTCTAATTGCAGTATTACTATCTGTAAATATTTCTAGTCTTTTTCTTTTGGTATAGTCAAAATTGCTACACATATTGCTAATAATTTTGCTGCAATTAACATTGGCCATCCTTTTACTCCTAATTCTATCTTTTCTTCTGACCAATCTTGTGCTTCACTTATCTGCACTTATTCTATATTCATGTTTCTATCTATTGCTTCTTCTTTGTTTCTTCTATTTGCTATATTATCTATATATACTATATACTTGTTTTTATTTCTTAATACATTTCTCTTTAAGGTTTTTATTATTTCTTAAGAAACATTTTTTTTAACTTTTGCTTTTTAACTAGCTTTGTTTCTAGATCCTCTAACATTTTCAGTTCTG